GGCGCCGCCTGCGGGTCCCGGTGCCAACGGACGGTGGTGGCCGCCGTGGGGCAGCACGGGAGCCCTCCTGTAGAGCGAGCGCTCGGCTTGGGACCTTCCCCTCGGCCCCAGCTCCTGCGCTCTCCTCCCTTCCCCGCGTTGCCTTCAGCCGGGCCTCGCCGGGCACGGCCCGCTCACACCCGACGGGTTTGGGCCCATTCCTTGACGTTCCCATCAGTTTTTTATCACGTACGAGCAGCTGAAGCGGCTTCCCTTCTGACGGCTGGCTTCGTTTCACCACAGCCATCCTCACCGCTCGCAGCAGAGCGCTTTGCTGCAGCCTTCCTCTTCATTTCACCGTCCCCACGTTGTGATGTTTTGGTACGTGTGGGTCTGGGCTCTCCCCCCAAGCGCCTGGTCCCTGGAGCACGGTCTGGCTGAGGCGTAGCCGCGGGGCTGATGGCAGGGGCTGCACCGTTTTCCACGCGGAGGCAAGTACGGAGGGTCTGGGCCTGAAGCAATATCTTCTGTGAAGATCCGCGCGTTCCAGTGGCCCCTGGGTGCAGCCGGGGTGGGTTTGGCTGTGCCGTGCCTGCGGGGCGAGGCGGGAGGCTGGGGAGGGTGCTGCCGTGGCTCCTTGCAGAACTGTAACCCCATTAAATTATTTATTGACTGGATGGCTCGAGTTTGCGTCCGTGCAGGTTGACCGCGGGGGTGGTCCAGAGCAGGTGTGTATAGATCTTTTTTTTCCACAAATATGTGTGTCCAAAAAAGCCACCTTTGGGATTCATTGCAATAGAAATGTTTCTAGAGCTGAGTTTCATTGTTAGCACCAGAAAAGCGCGGTGCTGCCCTCTCGGCCGGGTTTTGCAGAACCTCGGTCTCTTCGCCTCCTCGCTTCTGTTATTTCTGCTCGTCGCATTTTTAAAGCGAGGGAACGGGGTCGGAAGCTGAGCTCGTCTCCCACTGCTTTAAAGTGGTGGCTCTGGCACTGCCGGTGCCAAGCAGAACGTCCAGCCGCCTGTTTGATCATCTTCACGTTGGGCTGGGGTTTTTTTTAAATGTCTATGGCTACAAGAGCTGTGTCCCTGCTCCCTTTCCTCCGTATGGGGTGGCTTTCATTTGGGTGAAGGTCCCTCGTGACACCGGGGGAAGCACAAGGGACGTTCAGCTGCATCCAGCCCGGACGAGTGAGAGCGGATCGTGCCTGTGGTTTGGCAAAGGCCTCGTGCCAGCTGCGCGCGTGAGGATGGCGCCGCCGATGGGCTCGTGGGTGGAAATCACGCCTGGGACCGGGGTGTGACCGCAGGGCCAGGCTCGGTAGGCTGGGCGGGTCGTTTTGGGGGTTACACTCTGCTTGCAAGCTGCCAGAAACGGGGAGCAGTGGATTGGAAGCGCGCAGGGTTCATACGCCTCGCGGGGAGGTGGACCAGGACGCTGGAGTTCGGCTGGGCCGGCTGGGTTTCCGAAAGGCTTTCGGTTCAGTCCTTTACCAAAGCCATGCAAGGCGCCAGGCGGAGGCAGGGCGAAAGGGAAATGCCTGTTGGGGTCTAATAAGGGCCGTGATTTGAGGTATTTGGGGTCGTACCCGGGAAAGCGGGCGGTGGGGAGCTGCGGAGGGGTGCGGTGAGGTACAGCCACGACGCGGCACGG